TGCTCAATATCAGAGATAAAGACAGAAATGGACACAAGGATCAGCACTGTATGGTGACTGTCAGTTTCACAATTCAATGCAATCTTCAGATCAAGTGCACTAAGTCATATATATATATATATATATATATATATATATATATATATATATATATATATATATATATATATGAATGAACATGCAGGGTGGCTTGTATAATTGTTAGCAATACAGAAAAAGAATCAACAAACCAATTACCAATTTGAAATTGCTTATGTCCATTTTACACTAATGTAAGGAAAGACATGAATCAATTTCTCCCTATGTTCTGTCTCATTAGTTAAACTGACAGACCACTATATTTGATGGAGAAGAGAGAGACAGCAAAGCCTGGATTGTGAAATGGCTTATTAATTTTAACACCTTCAAAATGAAATTGATCTCTTTGAATCATCTTAGAGAATTTTTTTTTTGACTTCCATCAGAATGGCTGATTCTGAGCTCCAGGAGAGTGACTCATTGTGCCTTCTTGGGAAAAAGTTTTTTCACTGACATGTAGTGGAATGATTGAATCAATTGCTAAGTCTGCTGTTAGGAAACTTGTACCATTCTAGATATTTTTTCTCACCAGAATCTATATTACACATTTATAAGTCTACCATTCATACATGCTTGAATATTGGTGTCACATTTGGTCTGGTGCTTTTGCTATGTATCTCTCTATCCCTACTTGTTTCTCCCTAACTCTCTCACTTTCTACACATAAATAAAATATGGAATAGGAAGATCTTTATTGATTGCAAAATTGAAGGAATGTATTAATGAATAACAACCATATTTCTTTGAATATATTTCTGCATATTAGTATATGAGTACATATTTTTCATGGATTTTTAGGTATATTCAAATTACATACAACAGAATCCATCCTAATGCCAAATCTAGTCATATTATCTCTGGGATCTTTTCAGCATAGACAACAGATGGGTGAACTCAATGACAAAAAGGCTGGAAATGGACAAAGAAATCAAATTTTTTTCCCTGACATATTTACCTACAAATAAATAATTTAACTTAAAACTACTATGAACAACACACTGTCAGATAAAAAAGATAATATAAACTAATTCTAGACATAATTTCGTAACTACAAAAAAATAACTGAAAAGTACTATAAACAACACACTGTCGCATTGGAGAGATAACATAAATTAATTCTAGACATAATTTTGTACCTAGGAATAAATAATTTAACTGAAAAGTACTATAAACAACACACTGTCAGATAGGAGAGATAATATAAACTAATTCTAGACACAATTTTGTATCTACAAATAAATAATTTAACTAAAAATTACAATAAACAACACACGGTTGATTCAAAGAGATAACGTAAACAAATTCTAGACACAATTTTGTACCTACAAATAAATAATTTAACTGAAATTACTATAAACAACACACTGTCAGATAGGAGAGATAATATAAACTAATTTTAGACACAATTTTGTACCTACAAATAAATAAGTTAACTAAAAGTTACTATAACCCACACATAGAGACATAGTTGGTATAGATGGAGTAAACTTCCAGTAATCAAAAGCACTATTTTTAAAAAGTGCTCAATACAGTGTAGAGCAAATAATATTTATTTAAAAATTTAAATCATCATATACTTGTTATTTGATTGGCCATTACATCTTATGTAAAAAATATTTCCCCCAGTGGGGGTAGCAGTTGGTTTTTGAACTCTTTAAAAACTCTATTTTACTTGTAATACCGTCACTTGACATGACATCAGAATTGTTGAAACAAAATGACTATTTTTGTAGTGATGTTATAACATGTGTTATAATTTTTAAATAAATAATATATATATATATATATATATATATATATATATATATTAGTGCATATACATAATATCCAACGTTGATAACACAACTCAGAGTTTTATACAAATTTGCAATCTTCAGATGCTGGATACAGACTGACCATTATAAAGTTTTCATTCTTGTAGTGATGACTTAAAATTGTGTGTTAAGACTTGTTTATTTTATTATTGTTACCTAAAATATTATAATTAATTATTTATATCATTCAAATTTTTAAATTCAAAAAACAACAAATTAAAATTATTTTAAATTAAAAATTTTGAAATTAAAAATTAAGTAAATACATTAATTGTGAGTTATACCTCTTTCAAATTTTTTGCAAGTATGGATGTTCATATCTGTTATGCATGTGCATCTACATACAGAATTTGTAAGTACGGATGTACATACCTGATATTATCATTAAAAGGTCACATGTTTTAAGAGTTGTCCCCCCCTTATGGAAAAAACACCCTAATATAAAACTTATGGTCTGTTAGCAATTCTGCTTCACCATACTTAACTTGTCACTATGTTAGGCAGTTGATAAATCAATGAATATGATGGAATAAATCCATACTAACCTTTCACCCCTCCAGCATAATCCATTTCACACCAAAATGTCTATCAACCAATCAAAACTCTAGTTTCAGCAAAGTTTCCTATTGGTCAAAAGCCTTAGAACTGTAGCAAATTCACATGAAAATGTTTTTTTCACATGCAAGCCACCGGAGCCTATATTTTTGTCCAGAAATCTATAAATAGGAAATTCTTGATCACTTCAAACAGTCAGACTTTCATTACTAGAGAGATGCCAAACTGACCCACGCAAGTCAAAACTCTGACCAACCAGGACTTGCCGCACAAAATATCTCTGACTCAACAATCCACAAGCACACTCTATCTCTCTCAGGAACGCTATCTAAACATCACTTACGATACTTTAAAAAGTGACATTTTTTCTCAATACTTAATAAGTATTAGGAAACCAACAATCAAATTCTTACACAACTAAAGGTACGCAACTCCTACCAATTCTGAACAATAATACAAACAAACTTACGTACACACACTAATAACCGAACTAGCACAAAGGACAATTTCATATGTAACTGGACACTTAGTTTAATTTTGTGAACAAATCTGAATAGCAATTGCAAAGACTTTCAAACATTCCCAATAATATTCTACACAGTCAAATACATCTATTCTCATTTATCCATGGAAGTTCAACTAAAGTGTATTCTAGAATTGTAAACCAATGTTATTGTTGTACATTTAATGTTTGTCTTTGCTTTCAACCTTCTTGCATGATTTATTTCTAATATTTTTCTTTAATTGTTGTAGACGAATGTTTTTAGAACACTAAAAATCCTTCTGATCACTCAAAATACATTTGCTAGTCTGCAACAAATACATCAGAAAAACAAAAAAACCCATAGTTAAGAAATGCTTGTATACAACATTTTATGCCATAAGTAATATCTGTTTCAAATCAAATTAATTTAAATTTAAATTTGCTAATTTTCCTCAAATAATTTTTCAGAAATATATATTTTATTTTTGCATGATATTTTTGTTTACAAATGTCTTGAAAAGACAGATTTTATGAATTTTACTGAAAAAAATCGAGTCCAATCATTATAATTTCTGTTTGAAATAAACCACAGAATATTTTGCTTACTTGAAATAATAAATTTTAAATCCTTTAGTTTTACATTAAAGCTAAAATGAAAGCTTCAAGAAAGCTTTTTCATTTTTAAAACAAGTCTATACCAGATTAATGTATAAAGCTGCCTTTAGAACATGTTAAAATTACTTATTTCAGTATATAAAGTTGTATATATGTTGTGCATATGTTACCAGTTCTACTATGCTACTTTTCCACATTCACTTGCATTCATTTATGTGCAGATACCCTTGGGAAAGGTATGAATCCATCTTCTCCCCTATAAGATAAAAATATATACATTTTTATATATGAAGAAAAATTTATGCTATTTACATTGTTCAGACTGTTGCCTTCATCTTCATTGTCATATTCACAATGTTTCAGCCATTGTATGCTCCAGCCTTCTTCAGGTGATATACGTTGGAATTTTGAATTGAACCCTTCTTTCATCCACTGGAGTACATTGTTCTAGTTCCATGTTCCATGCCCCTTCCGGATATCTTAGTTATTTCCCTTTAGTAACTCAAATCACAACTCTTTGGGTCAAGTCACTGGATTACTTCAACCAACATTTTTATCCACAGGGCCATGTGTCCTTGCAGGCAATCTATCTCAGTGAATGAAATACAGGGTTCAGTTCAAAATCCCAATGTATATCACTTGAAGAAGGCTAGAGTGTACATTGGACAAAACGTTGTGGTTGTGGTAAACCCTCCTACAATATAATGAACTCTTCCTTCTCTCATAAATACAAACTGCGAGAGTTGGATACTGGTGCAAGAGGGTGAAGTGGAGTGGAGTAGTAGACACAGTGCAAATATACTTATTACTAACACTATTGTTTTGTATATATCTTCAATACACTTATTCAACCTACCTTCATCTTCCGTGTCTTTCTTTCTGGCCCCAGTTGTGAAGATGACAATAAAGACGATGTTGACAGTATGAACAATGTAAATAGTGTAAATAGTTATAACACCTCATCTCAGAAATATAGACAGATCAGAACAATATTGTGGAAAAATGTATGACAAATTGGAAAAAGTTTTTGTGCGAGGTGTTTTGTCCTTTAGGACTTCATTGGACTAAATTTGTTATGTTGGTACAACTTTACATGTGCACAAATAAGTGATGCTGGGAATTTTAAATATATATGCACACACACACACACACACACACATATATATATATATATATGATAAGAATGATATATATGATAAAAATATAGTTTTAAAAGTATGCTATATTTATGCGTAAAAGAGATCAATATCAAGGATTGAGCATATGTAAATATAAAAGTGGACACTGAGGTCATCAACAAGTGGTGAGAGTTTGTTTCCTGCTTGAGCGCAATCAATCATCATGGCCTGAAGATTACATTCAAGCATAAAACAGACTGTTGCTACTCAATGTTGATCTCAATGTACAATCATATCTATATATATATATATATATATATATATATATATATATACACTGAAGGATGCAACAAAACAGAAGATAGATAATGAATATGCTGAGATAGATAGATAGATAGATAGATAAGAGGGGGTGCTGAAAAGCACTAGGCTACACATAGAACTCTTTACTTGTAAGATACGTTTACAAGATGTAACATAAGTCAACTTTCATACCAAGTCCCATATGTTAAAACAAGTTCTTGATCAATAAACTCTGTTACAGCACTTCAAACAATAGAGAAATTTCATCCCGAGGATAAACTTAAATAATGCCTAAAGTTTAAATCCACTTTGGAAGTAAGGGAGACAAGCCTGCTACTGCTACTGCCACTGCTTAGAACACATCCATTAAGCTGAAGAGTAGGAGCCTAATATCTTCAGAAATTTGTTAGCCAAGGATGGTGAGTTCAATCCTAGATAGGAGCACAAGAGTTAGTATAGTTAAAAAACCGTATATGGAACCTGAAGCAAAGAACAAAACTTCCTATAAATAGTTTGCAAGATAAGCACACCAGTCCTGATATATAGCAATAGACTAGTTTTTAGTGGTGTGCAATTTTTATTCAGTTATTACAGAATAAAGCCAACCCCTAAATATTTGGTGTTAACCACAGCTGACAAGATAAAAAGGATATCAAAAACGTAAATTACAAACATTTACTAATCCAACCTATTTGTTGTGCATATGTTACCAGTTCTACTATGCTACTTTTCCACATTCACTTGCATTCATTTATGTGCAGATACCCTTGGGAAAGGTATGAATCCATCTTCTCCCCCAGCTATGGGTTAAATAGTGAGAATTATAACTGGAAAAATCATTGTTAGTCTCAAAAAAAATTACTAATGCAATATTCACTTAAAAAAAAGGAATTATTTTTACTATAGAAAATATGTTTTTGCTCTAAAATCACCCACAAGGGGTTGATAATCCATAAAAAACAAATCAATCAATCTACATTTCCACTTAGCTGCCATTGAGATTGATGCACTTGTAATATCAGAGACAGAACATGATGTATAAGGGGCAGAAACAGATGACAATCTGAAGGAATCACTTTGGGACTATTTGGAAGATATGGGAAAATATCTCATCCATACTGTGGGGGAAATACTCTTTTGTCAGATTGGTTGCGTGTTGAGTAGGGTTGTTGTGCATCAGTATTGATCCCCTTATACAAATATTGACATCTTTATACAAATATCTAAGTCTCTTTATAAGGAAACATCTTTTATTGTTTGGCAGTACTTCCCTAATTATCGGGACATCTTAGGACATGGGTGGAAAAAAAAATGTTTAAATAAATCAAAATTCTGGATAATTAAATACATAAATTATCAAAAAGAAATAAAGAAAAAATATTAGAATAGGTTTAGTTTGGATAATTAAAAAAATATTTGCATGATTTCAATTTTTCTCTTCATTTCATGAGGTATTCTGACCATTCACTGACCATCCTGGCCCAGCCTCCACATTCTGTAACAGTTGAAAGCACAATCAATTTAAACATTTTTCAAATAAAATCATTGCTTCAGAGTTTGAAATTTTTTATGTGTATGTTTTTCTAAATTCTCAAAATGCTTGTCTGAGATGAAATATTAGAATGGGTTTAGTTCCTATAATAGAAAAATGTTCAGTTGATTTCAATTTTTTTCTTCATTACACATCCAGATAGTCGATGTATAGATACTCCAGGAAGTACTGTATTTAGGTTTCATTTATACCAAATAGAGATAAAAAAATAAAACAAGATTCATATTATTCTAGAAAATATGCTGTAAAAGTTGCTCTACAATTTATAGATGAAGGTAAATAAAGCCAGAAGTGAAATAAAGCCAAAAAAAATGAAAGACTAGTTTTCAATAACATGATCAAAATGAAATTGTTCTCAAATGTTTTAAAAATGGCGACATAAGCTGTAACGATTTTCTGTAAGCTTTTCTTCATATAAAATGTTTATTCAATAAATCGATAAAAGTTCAATAGACTTATCTTCTTGACTTACTCCAGAGTTTTACATCAAAATGATCATGAAACTCTGGAGTTGGCTAAGGCAAGTTCATTGATCCATTCAATATTATAGCTCAAGTTATGACTTCAGTTTTTGGAATTGGGCATTGGGGGTTGTGAACCTTTTAATGTGGGCAATAATCCTGCTTCTTTTTAGAATTTTCCAACATGGTTATAAGTTCAACAATACCCTGGTTACTTGGGTTTTCATACTCAGGGCCTGAGAGTTACATAAGCCATAATCTCTGGCATGACCAAGCTGTGATAATTCAAATATATTTTCTTTGTATGAACAGAAGTAGAGCTTTATTCCTTGTTTCCTGTTAATGATAGTGTTTCTGTTTCCTTCAATTCTATACTTCTGACATCTCTGCCTGAAATCTTAAATTTTATTCAGCAATTATTATTTTTTTCCTCTCCCAATAAGAGTAGATGACTTTGCTTATTGTCTGGTTCACACTCCTCCCCAGTCTTCTGAACAGGAGTAGAGGTTTATCCCTTGTTTCCTGTTTAGGATTGGGTTTCTGGTCTACTTCAACTCTATGCCTAAAACTTTGAACTTTTATTTACTATTGAATTATTTTTTTCTTTACTCAATAAGAGTAGAGAGGTTCGCATAGTCTGTATCACACTCTTCCTGGATCTTTTGAACAGGAGTAGAGGTTTATCCATTGTTTCCTATTTAGGATTAGGTTTCTGGCTCCTTCTAAAGTCTTCTTCAACTCTATACTCCTAACGTCACCACCTGAACTCTGAAATTTGATAATTAAATGTTGACTTCTTCAAGTCTAGAATTAGCTGTCTATCATTCCTGTTATCTTGCCCTTTCTTTCCCTAATACCCTCTTCCCTGAGTGACCCTTAGGCCTTGTATTTGGTGATCATTAGTAAAAAAAAAAAAAAAACATACAATGAGGAAATTCACAAATATTAATTAAAGTGATTTTATTAGCACTTATAAAATTTGAGTATGGTTTTCTAAATTCTCAAAATGCTTGTCTGAGATGAAATATTAGACTAGGTCTAGTTTAGATAATTGAAAAATGTTTGGATGATTTCATTTTTTTTTCCTTCATTTCATGAGGTATTCTTGAACAATCAGTGACCATCCTGGCCCAGCCTCTGCATTCTGTAACAGTTGAAAGCACAATGACCTTAAACATTTTTCAAACATAATCATTGTTTCAGGGTTTGAAACTAAAAATTTTTATGTTGTGTATGGCTTTCTAAATTCTCAAAATGCTTGTCTGAGATGAAATATTAGAATGGGTTTAGTTCAGACTAGCAGTAGAGCCCAGCGTTGCCCGAGGATATAACAGTAAGAGATAGATCAAGTATCAACCATCATAAAGACTGAAAAATAAAATTGACAAAGATTATTGTTTAAGGTTGACGGACAAGCACATGTCTTAATTAGTTTTTTTGTTTTGTTTTGTTTTTTTTGTTTTTTACGAATTGGTCAAACCCAAACTCAAACAAAAACATTGTTTTCAATCATTATGAGTCTACCGATTGAATAGAATTTTATTATAAACAATTGTCTTGTAAATGAAATTTTTAAAGCATTCTGAATGTAAAAATAAAGAAAAAAGTGTGCAAGACAATAAGAAACACTACCTACCAAAAAAAAGTGAGGTTTTGTTGAAATCGGTTGAAAAATGTACGAAATCCGATCCCATATATAAAGGAACACACACACACACACACACATAAACAACCTGGGTTTTATAATAAGTATAACTCGATATGAGTTGTCCCCCTTTCATTTCTCGCGACAGTGATGCCTCTTAATCGTCTTTTCAAATTGATTTTGTGCAACAAGAATTGTGTTTTTCCAATTTTGGGCGCTGTCAGAACCACCGCAAGGTAATTTTACGTACTCCTGTGAAGTTTTGTTGAAATTGGTTGAAAATTGTAGGAAATCCGATCCAATATATAAACATACAGACACACACACACACACAACCTGGGTTTTATAATAAGTATGATAATAGAAAAATGTTCAATTGATTTCAATTTTTTCTTCATTTATTTTGTTTTATGTCATATCAACCTCAATGGGTTATTTAATGCTGACAAAATTTTTTATTGCTGGTAATATTTTGTTTTGTCAAAAATTTATTTCTGGTAATATTTTTCCTTCAGAATTGTTTTGCTAGTAATAATTTTTTCAAAAAATCTATTACTGGTAATAGTTAACTATTTGCCCATAGCTGGGACCCTAACAGGTGCTACCACCCTGGGTCAGAGTGGACCTGGGAACACCAGCAATTAAGGGTGGTTCCACACTCCTCAAAACCTCCTGATCAGAGGCCTTGCTGCTGGACGTAGTTTATGGTCTAACCCAGGATGCAGATGTAGTTTAACATCTTACCCAAGACAACATTTCACATCTGGATAACCGAAGTTCAATAAATTGAGGTATGATAATCGAGAAAGTACTGTATTGACCCCACTCCCATAACTGCTTTTAACAACAGAGATCTTATCTAGATGTCAAAGTAAATGAAATATCCTTAAAAATAAAGTTCAATATTGCAACTTAACTAAAATCAAAATATTCAAAATTTATTAAATGCTCATAAATGAGATTCTTGTCTATAAAAACAATGAGGAGTTAACAGAAACTCAGGTGTCCAGTTCAGATAGTGAAAAAGAGACGACCCCTTTACAACCGAGATCTCATCTAAAAGCCTTAGTGAAATTACACACTTACAAACAAGATTCTCAAATATGCTGGTAGTGTTAGGGTTAACAGCTCAAAACAAGAAACCAACAAGCCAAATTTGAATTCAGGCTGAGGTTACATTCAGGTTACATGCACTTTCCCACAAATACCCTAAAGAAATGTATGAATCCATCTCTTTTCCCCCCAGCTGTGGGTTAAATAGTAAGACAGACTGGGCTATTCAGCCTTGATTATCAACCAGTCTAAGACAAGGAAAACTCTGAATTCCAAAAACTGAATAGATCGAACTTGTTAGTATGGAAATATATGGTTGTCTAAGAAAAGGAAGACCCCCCCAACAGAAAACAAAACCTTCCTCAAAAGTACAGAAGTTAAGCATGGAGCCTATTACCCCAACCTGTGGAAGAAATCAATTACA